TACTTAGATGTCTAGACCCTCTCCCATTTGAAAATTGATCTAATCTGGAATTCACCTGCTGATTCGCCACTTTTTTGTTAGAATAAAAGCTTCCCTTTCAAAATATAGATTATATGTTCCTTGGCACACAGATGGATTGATATTAATATGACCTCAGCAGGAAAATAGCGAGTTCATCTGAATGAGGCTGTTAGTTTTTAGATGTATTCCTGTGTTTTATGAGGTTAAATATGATTCAGATTGATTGCTCAAGTTAAACTCTTAAAAGATTAAACATGTGCAAAAAAAGCTGGTTTGGTGCTCTTTTAGTTTATAGTTAAATAGAGCTAAATTTTATTTTATTGAGTTAGTTCTTTTTAGCTTGTTATTTTGGTTAGTTTGTGTGGTAGGTCAAACGTTTGCATGGGTTGGTGCACACTTTCAAACATCTCATGTTTTATGTTAAACATTTCACAACATGTTGTTGTTTTTTTAATAAGGACACATTTTATACTTGAGTTCCCAGTTCTAAACCAAAAATCATGTAACCAAAAAGCCAAAACTGGTCTCTACCCAGAATAGTTTAATCCAACTTTCTAAAACAGAACTAAGGTGGATTGCTACTTTCTTAACCATGATTATATTGTTTTTCTACCCTCTTTTGATTATTTACTGATCTTTTGGAGATCATTGTACAGTTACATCACCCATTTTGAACCAAACTTTAGAAGTCAAATGTTTTTTACACGTAACACTAGAATGCTATGTTATATGAATGAGGTCAAAGGTTACATTGAGATTGTAAAATACAAAGTCTTTGGCTCAAAAATCATTAACTATCGACCAAACAGGATGGTTAAATGTGGCACCTTTACCAACATGCTGTTTTGTTTTTCCTAAGCATGCCATATAACTATAAAAATATCACAGATATACAAGCAGAAATACACCTTTTGCTGTGCACAGCTTTTAGACAAATTGCCTTTTTTCTAGACTACATATTAGTTTTCAGTTGGAGTTGCATGTTCTTTCTAGATGTATGGCTTCCTCTCACCACCCAAAAATGGTCATGGGATCATCGGCCACTTAAAATGCTTATGGCTCTAAATCTGTCTGCACTGGTTGTTGCCTGGTCCCTGTTAAACTGAAATTTAAATCTATTCTGGGTGCACCCCTTGTCTCACCAATAGCTCACAGACTATAAGCAGCCATTGAAATGTCGACATAGAAATACTTTGTGAATTTGCCATCAGTAAACATTTATTTAGTTAAGCTAACTTTATTTGACCAATCTGTCAAATTTCCTTACAACCCCAGGATGTTTTTTAATGTATATCATATGGATTTTCTTTTCCAACATCAGGAGTTTTTATTATTGCCTAATCCTTATATATAAAGTGATAATTTTCTGACATATGTGAATTAACTATCTTTTTTTGTTTTAAGTGGGTTTTTTTTACTTCCCCTCTACTGCTGTTCTGTAAATACATGCACCCCGCCCCTTTAACCCCCTTCCTGCCCAGCAAGGGATCCCAGAGGATCAGCTTTTGTCAGTTACAGTGAAACCTGAGAGGGGCAGACTGAGCTGCTATTTGCACAGTAAATCTATTTAAGTAATTCAAATAACAGCAGGTGAGCAGCATTTTGCTCAGTTTGACTGTTGTGGCTCTTGTCGAGATAAACCTTCCACACATTCACCCTTACACATGCAATTACAGACGAACAACGACCTTTCTTCTGAAAATAACATTGGTGTTTCACAGATAGTTAGTATATAACAAGAGTCTTTAAAGACAAACAGTATTATTTCAGTATTTACCTCAGTACACTTCCCAGAAAAGGCAAATGTCACTTTAAATTATGTTTGCTACAACCCTTGGAGCAAGGGGAATTTATTATCACATTTCAGCATAAATGGAGGCACAGTATAATTGGAAATTCAATGAAAAGTCGCATTGACATCCATAATAAAACAGCGAACCATTCTTAGAAAAAGACATAATTCGACATAATAGTAATAGTTTCTAGACTGAGAAATTTTCTGCAAATCAGTTAAGGCAATATAATCACTCAAATTGTTAAGGATACGAAGGAGGTTTGAACAAAATCTAAAGAAAAATTAGATATATCAAAACTTAGTACTGTAAAAACAAACTTTGCAGGTCTTAAGTAAATCTCTGTAACTGCTAATAGAGACTTAAGTGAGGTTAAACCTCTTGAGATGCACTGTAGGTAGAAAACTACAGTTTTTTGGTCTAAATCTATTATGTATGTGACTGCAATCAGTTTTTTTTTTCTTGTTGTTGTTATGGCCTCTTCAAAACATTCACTTCGTCCTTTATTTGTCATTTTCTGAATAATATGATTGTATGCTTGAGGTAATTGTCTATTTGGAAGACCAATTTGTGGCCAAGCTTTTGCTTTGTAGGTAATTGTCCTGAGATATTGCTTCAGTATTTTCACACAAGGTTATTTCCAAATGATGCCATCTGTTTAGTGAAGTACAGCTATCCACCGGCAGTAAAATACCCATTTGACGCTGACGCCCTTGTATCTCACAATTGGGATGGTTTACATTTGCAAGCTTAACTTTTTTATTACCTAATATGATGATGTTTATGGTTAGGGGTTTCCATTTTAGTTTCTTTAAACCATGAAACATGTCACCAAAATGAAGGACATTGTGCTTGAGTGCTTTTGCAAACAGTAATCTGATTTTTAATGTTTTAAACAGGTGAATTGTTACCCAAGGAAAGTACTTGTTATAACAAAGCTCTGTTCCTAAAATTTTCCAAAGTCTTATTAGTTTATTACTAATAAAAATTGGTTTGATGAATGGAGTATTATTTCAACTTTCAATACTTGAACAGCGTTCTACTAATTATGAAAGACTAGAAGGACTGTGATTTTATTTCATTTTTTTCCTGAATGCTTTTGAGGTTATGTCATGGAAATGTACATTATAAGTCAGTGCATGTTTTTGTCATGTTATATTTCACTTAGAAACCAATAATAAGAAAAAGAAAAAGCTTCAATTTTGAAAATCATTTAAAAATTGTACTTTACCTTGTTTGTAATAAGACGAGTAAAGTTTTAGGGTTGATTTGATTTTCTTTAAGACTTATAAAAGAATATAAATCTCTTCACTAGCTTACATAAATTTTGAACATTTTATATTCCTAGACCAGCATTTGATTTTGGAGATGTTTTGATTATGTGAAGACCAAATGTCTCTGCATTAGAAATATAAATAAACAAAATTACTTGCTAACAAATATAAAGTCTGAGTTCAGACAGGGCTAATTGTGAACATATATATATATATATATATATATATATATATATGTTACAAATAAATGTATTTGTTAGATAATTTTATTAATTTGGATTATGAAAAATAATTACCGTAATTCTATGAAAGGAAAATCAAACCTGGCATTTTTAATGTAATCGTTTTTTTGACTAGAGAAAAATGACAGTTTCCGCATTAAAAACAAATATTTTTGTTTTTATTTGACAAAACCCGCACATAAAACGCACCAATCAATTTTGCTATGCGATCCAGTCTGGTGGGAACCCAGAAGCGCAACAGACGCGCGTCTCCAGCCTATTCTTTGTCTTTCCCCTTGATATTCAAATTCACATTTTGTCCCCTAATAAAAGCCTTCAAACTTTCCTATGTATGTTTTATATTTACCTTAAAAACTGTCTAAAAGCCATTTAAACCCACTTTTGGCGTGGCTGACATCTGAGAGGATGTTTCTTACAGTGTGCGGTAGCAGGCAGGCACCGATCTGTTGCGCCCTCCCATTTTTCATTATTCTTTGAAAAAACATTTTTTTTTTTTTTGGCCGCTATCAAACTGCCTTTCATATTTGTTCTAAATTTAAGAGAAGGATGTCTAAAAGTAAAACCTAAAAAATCAAATCCCTGAACTCCAGCGGTGGGAGGAGGATGAGGGAAAAGAGGCGGAGGGGGGGAGTTGGATAACAAGCAGATGAAATGTTTCCAAACGCGCACCGATGGCGGTGTGAAGCGTTTGGATGAAGCGCAGGGGGACACCGCTTTGGATTTTTCATCACTTTTTTGCGCATCTTTCTCATTCTATGAATCGTTTTTGGGATTGAACACAGAAAAGCTATGGATTACTCCCTCTGTTTGTTGGTTCTTCTGACGACCGTGTCTGTTTCGCACGGACAATTCCCAACACCCCAGATGTGAGTATAACCTAATATAACCTATAGAAACAACCTGCTCTCTAAATCCAGCGGTAGTAAATGGAAAGCGAACATTTAAAATGCGGGAATTGTCATCATACTCAGACCTGATTGGGTTACCTCTAAGAAGTTTTCAGTTTATTGCTTTGGTCCCAGATAATGGGGTGAAAGTTAATGCTTCAAAATCCACACGTGGTTAATGTCAGAAACAACTTTGACTTTTATAAAGCATGATGTTTTAGGCTGCTGCCCTTTTTATAATGAGCCTGCAGCAGTGAGACATGTGGCTGCTTGGCTGTCACATGAATCATCCTTGGGAGATATATTAAGACTCAACTGTCTAAAGTTTTCCAAGCAGTAACTTTGCTTGAATTAGAGCTATAAGATGTTCCCATGCTGCAAAGAATACGTTTGGAGGTCAGGATAGGAGCTGTCTCAAATCAACAAATATATTAATATCACTCTTTTAAGATATTAACATAATTATATTAAAGGCAAACATGCTATAGAAAGAAGAGCTGTACTTACAAGTATATAACATGTAGTGCCACTTTGTGCTGTAATCATATCCAGATTTAACTGGCCTACCTGTAATGATTGAATACGCAACAAAAGGTTGGGATTGTAAGTTTTAGTAGTTGTGATTTTGGTTGTAAGAATCTGAACAGTTTAGAAACGACTACCTCCAAATGCTTCATCGATCCAAAAGAGAAATGGGATATTAGACAAGCTTTAATTACCCATGTTTCCACAGTCATGGATGGTGATGGGTAATAAAAGTGTTGGATTAGTTGATTTAATTTGTATTGTTGACCAAAGTGTAGATTGACAAACAAAAATGCATGCAGATGCAGCACATGTGATCGATTCGGATTCTGTCATTAACTTTTTAATTAAAAGTGAAGTTGTATTGGATGGTGATTTAATGAGATTCACGATCACTTCAATGGGAATTAAAGGTAGAAAGTTCAGTGCATCCCTATGCTCCTCTTAAACAGAATATGTGAAGTATTTTGGTCAGAGTAACTGTTGCCCATTTAATAAAGAAATGTTAAAAGCATTTATTCCAGCATAAGTTAAAGCGTTTTAGATTTTTATGTTTGCTTCTTTTATTATGGAATTTGTCTGGAAATGCTTCACAAGTTCCGCTCTTGATGCAGAACCATTTGTCACATCAGGTTGACACATGGTCTCCTTATGTTATTTCTGGTATGGCTAATTATTGGCTTCTGCATGAATAACTCTCTAATGCAAAACAAAACAAAAAAGTTTGTATTAAAAGTATGTAAAATTGCATTAGAGTTTAGTGTATAAGTTTGCTTTGATTAGACACCTTGTTCACTTGCATTGTCTTTGCCACTAGGGCCATTTATTGTTGTTGTGCTAATGCCAGCCTAAATATTACATGCTTATAATCTTTATACTCCTTATGCACACATCCTAAACTTTACTTTGATTGACTAAATGTTTACACAATGGACAGGTAGTCCAATGTTTAATCTTTAAGTAAAACTTGGAAATCTTTGTTATAATTTCAGCAGCAACTTGACAACTTGGTGAGATGGGTCTCTGATTCTTATAGTAGGATTGTTTTCTCAAGTAAAGATCAGTAGTTCAATGTATTTTTTTATAGTGCTTCAATGAAACTATTTCCAATCTTGAGAGGAAACAATGCAGTTTGTTCTACAGGGTTTAATTTGTATCATGAACTAATGTGGAGGCATTTTGGGAGCAGGTGATGTATCGTTTGCTCTTGTCTAAATCTGACTCCTGACCTTTGCCCTGGGGGTAATTTAATAGTTCCAGCACATGGTAAAAGGCAAATCAGTTTCTGAATCAACGGTCTATTTATTCTTGATGTTGCACTTTACCATTAATCAACAGGTTAAGAATAATTCTCATGGTTCAAGAGAGCATGGACAAAAAGGGATTGGTCTTGAATGCAGGCCAAGTCTGGTCCCAGAGCCATGAATGATGATGGCACTTAGCCTAATGGCCAGGAGCGATGATGTCAGACTATCAGAGTCGCTTGCCCACTCCCTATATTTCATGGGCACTAAGTGAATTGATCTGTGGGCTGTGTACATGATGTTCACACAGGGAGCTGTGCAACTAGATGCAAGTGATTGTCTTTGTTTAAAACTGCAAAAGGTCGATTCAGGAGAAAGGATTTAAAAGTTAAACAATACCCCTTTCTTATAATATTTCCATGATTAAAGCATATTTTGCTGTTTTCATATTTTTTTTTGGGGGGGGGGGGTGCTCTGGGATTGCTTTTTTGGATTGACAAGCTTCAGCTTCGCAGCCTAAGTTAATGCACACAAAAGAATAGTTAAAAGCGAAGGATAAGGATGATGAGGCTGAACCTTATTTTTCTTTTATTTATGAAATCCCTGACTGCCTCCTATCCTTCTTTCTCATTGTTTACCACTTCTTTCTTCCTGTCCATCCTCTTTCTGCCAGCTCACTTATCTATCTTTTTATCTTTTTTGCCTGAAGGCGGATGATTAACATCATCTAAGCTTATAACACATCATCCAATGTCAGATTACTCTCTCCAGAGATCTTGGTACCACCCAGCTCTCTATGGGATCATGAAAGATAAAAAGAAAAGATGGAGAGAATGGAAAAAGGAGATGACAGAAAAAAAATGAATTTGACTGTTTTGATCTTTATTTTCTTTTTGAATCATTATTCAGTATCATTAAATCAAATGCTTGTATTTTTTTTTTTCTGAATTCTGTCACAACAAAGGTTTGTCTTTTGTTTTCATTTAATTTCTCACTCTTATAGTAACCCGAAATCCTCTGTCTTTAACAGGTGTTTTTGCTCTGATGTTTTTATTTTCATTAACTCGATTTTTGTTCTTAACCAGTTGTGATTCTAATTTTTGTGGCATCTCATTTGGTGATTATTTATTTTTGTATGATGCATTGTCATTAAACTTGCATTCTGGAGGGCAGGTGTCCTGGAACTTTTAGATGTGTCACTTGCCCTACATGTCTGAATGAAATAGCTCTGCTATTGAGCTCACATCTAAAGGTTTCAGGAAAAACCATGGATGACTGCAGATGGAGTCCCCTGGTATGATGTGAAGAGGGGCTACTCTCCACATCAGCAATTAATGTATGAAATGTATTTGAAAAAGATAATTAGGAAAAGTAGGATTCTAATTAATAAAAGTCTTGTGGAATTTACCTGAATAATGAGATTGTCATGGTTTACCCTCGCTTGACAGATTTAATCTAACATAAGACACATCTGCAGTCTTCTGATCAGATGAATCAGGACTTATTGATAAATATAGCTGAATATTAGCATTATAGTAAAGGTTTATAACATGCTGTTTTATCCTGTTGAAATGGAGACAGGTATTGAAATCTTTGGTACTCCAGAAACACTTAAGTTTGAAGGCCTAACAAACGTAAATAAAAAACACCCAGTTGCCCGTTCCCTGGATCCCTACACCCCTTCTAAGAATATAATGTGATAAACTACATTAAATGCGGCTCTGAGGTCTGAAAGGACGAATAGCTCAAGATAATTTTGGAGTTTTTACAGTGCTGCTTCAGTACTATGAGCTCTGAAACCTGAATGGAACTCTTTAAAAACGCATTAAATGCTGTAAATACTCACAAATTTAATAAACATTTTGCTCACAGGTGTAATTAATTTTTTACACATTTTGTTACTGAATCAAACTACCTAAAGGTCTGTAAAATTAGATCATAAATTAGTTCATAAATGAGTTTATTTTTTAGGTTATTTTTATTTATATTGTGCCAATTTAGAACATATCATCTCAAGGCGCTCTAAAATGACAATTCAATTAAATCATACAGACTGGTTCTATCCAAGGAAACCAAAATGGTTGCATCAACTCATTCACGTTAAAGGATTATATCCTTCTGGACAAACAAGTAGAGACATTCCCCTTTATTTTTTTGCTGACTGTAGCAGTCACTCATACCGTGCATGTAAGTCATCCTGTTTGAGTCGTTTCTTTAAAAACAAAACAAAAAAAACCTTAAATCTATGGCACTTTTAATAAGGATAGGTTCATCATAATGGGGGAACACTTAACACTTAAACAATTAATCACTTAAATAATTTGGTCTGTTTCGGGTCTAACATGCAGTTTCTTTTGCCTCATTTCAATTTCTGCTTTTCTCTTTCAATTTTCCACCTACTTTCATCTAAATCTTTCATCCTGCCTCAAATCCTTCTATCCTCATTACCCTCTTTTTTTTTCGTTTACCTTTTCCATCTTCTTTTTCATTTCTCTTTTCTCCCTACATCTCTTTCCCCTTTGAAGGTTGGTAGAAACAAAAAAGAAAAAGTCTAATAAGAGATGAGTTTGATATTCCTTTTGTCTTTATGAATGTAATATTTTTTGGCAGCTAAATGCCCACTTTTTATGTATACAAATTAAACAATATACAATAAAATTGGTCAAATCTGTTTTACTTAAATAAAATAATTAATTTCTGTCAATCTTATTCAGCATTTTTTCGTATTTAAAATAATGCAGAAATAAGTGAGAGTGATCTTTGTATCTTAAAATCTTTTCTATAATTATCTTCTTGGAATTGGAGCTGATATAAGTTTCTTAAGCCATCATTTGCATGAGTGACACCAATATTAATCTGTGATAATTTCCGTCGGATCCCAGATCCTTATTATCAACATTGTTGTACAGTCCCATTATTAAATGCACTATTATATGATGCAACCAAGAGAAAAACTGAAATATTCTTATAATCATGACTTTAATCTGTAGTGCAACAATTGCACAGTCAAGTACATGAGTCAAGATATTAAAATTAGCTCCCAGCTAAGAAAACTTAAAAATACTCTGCATTTTCTTTATGGAACCATGGCCAAATATATGAACCAGAAAATGTGCCTGCGTCTCTGGAAAATCCTGCTAAGGATGGTCACACGGTCCAGCACATTGGTAGTTTATGGCTATTTATATATATTTCCTTTGATTTTAGTCA